TATCTGTCTGACTCAGGCCAGGCTGAGTGCTTCTATGACCAGTAGGTGGTGCTGTTGGGAAGCTCAAAGGGGTCCCCAGCAGCTTCGAAAGGAGAGCGGGCTCGTTATGAGATTGACTGGGAACCAGGGTGACAGGGAAGTTTGAGTTGCCAGCCTGCCACCTCTTCTTTCAGCCACCTCCAGGTGTGAGGCGGATGTCTGTGGAAAAGAGGGAAGAGCAGGGGTGGACAAGACCAGACTTCTGTCCATGGGCCCAGGTGTCCTGAGCAGCAGGAATGGGGGTGGTAGGGATGTCTCCCATCATATTACCTCTCTGGGTCAAGATCTGCTAACTCATGCTTACAAAGGGCTAGCCTGGGCACCTGCCTGTTGATCTAGTATTCTCCCATCCAAGACACCCCTCCTCCCATGGAGAATGGGTCTATGGAGGGGCCAGGCAGTGGGCACTGATCCTTCTGGGCTAGCAGTTTTTCAGAAAAGTCCCTTTGGTGAGAAATTCATCCAGCATAGAGGGCTTTGTCTGCTTTTCCTCTGTGCTCCCTAGCACCAAGCATCATCTTATATAAGTAAACACTCAGTTAGGGCAACCAACTATCCTGGTTTGTCTGGTACTGAGGGGATTCCCAAGATTCAAGACTTTCAATGTTAAAATTGGGGCAGTCCCAGTCAAACCAGGGTGGACTGGTCACCCTATTGGGACACTGCCAGGAGAGGGGGAGGGCACATAACATCCATAAAGGTGCCTGATCCTAATCCAGGTGAAATGAGGGCCAGTGGGAGGTCCAAACTTCACCTGTACATAGACCACTTATGTACCCAATTCTGACTTGTACTCCACATCTTTAAAATTCAAAACACAGGATAAAAAAGAAATGTGCTGACATCATGCAGGAATTCCTGGAGTAAGTCAGTTTCTAACCCATGGGTTGGCAGACAAACAGGGAGAAATCCTGGGTTTGTGTCAGAGGCACTTGTGAGTGAGGCAGGTTCAGGCAGAAAGGAGGCTGTGATGTGGTTTTAGGTGGGACAACAGGGCAGGACAACTTGGGCACAGAAGAGACAGGAGGTAAAGAAATAAGGACTAAAGGGGAGAGAGCCACACTAAGTTCAGTGGGAAGAATGGGATTGGAAGGCGTGAGGAATTACTGTAAGGCGTTACTCAGGGCTGAAGCTTTGGGAGCCCCCCAAAACATTGAAAACTCCAAATCTGGAGGAACCCATTCCCATCACTTACCTGTTTTCCTCTTCTTTATTTTCAAGTCTGGTCACACACTCTGATGGTCCCCAGGAATTTGAGCCCCCAAAGAGCCTTCCAGGAGTCTTCTAGAAGCAGTGAAACTTCCTGTCTCCTGACTTTGGGGTCAGGTCTTCTGAATCTCCCTTTCTTGCCCTCAGGCCCAGTTTCTGCCTAGGAGTGCAAGTCAGACAAGTCTCAATGTTACACTGGTTGGGAGATGCTGGTTGTCACCCTCTCACTTGCATACCTCTGGTTCATGGGACACACCCATCTAAAGGCAGCTCCTGCCTCTATCCAACAGATATTATGAGAAAGTTCTTAAACGGAGCCAATATTCATGACTTCTGCCCGTGGATCCCAACTCTGCTGCTCCCTTGGGCATTTTCTTCTCTAGACTGAATGTATTTTGTCAGTTTCTGATATGAAAGTCGTTCAGGCCACTGTTTCACTTACTCTCCCATGCTATCCTGGGTCTCCAGAGCCTGGCTCACTGCCTTGGCATATTGGGTTCTCCATAAATATCTGTGGAGTGAATGGGTGGATCCACATCCCCTTCCTGTGAATTCTTGTCAGTGTGTATTTTTCGCTCTTGCACGTGGAGCCTTCAGACCCACTATGGTCACATATTGAGTTAACTGTCAACTGGAACCCCTGACATCTGGGACTCTCCTTGGTAGCATCCCTTTCTGAAAGGCTCAACACAGATGCAGATAGTGAGGGAAGTATGACTGCCATATCCTCACTGTTCTTATGGCCTCTGGGCTTCATGGCTGTGGCCCAGGTATTTAGGGCCCAGACAGAACCTGGGACAGAGTTCTGTGAGCACGAAGAGGTGTGGAGGTGCCTATGACAGCAGATGAAGGCCTGCTGGCTGCTTGGTGTCTGCTCCCCTATCTGCAATCTGTAGACTTGTCCCCTTCCCATCGGCTGAGACCTTCCCTATAATCAGTGGGTCACTCCTCTCTGATATCCTGGACTCTCCCTGTTCATTAACCCCATGCTTCCTCTCAACTCCTGAGTGTATGATCTTGGACTCCAACCTGTGCATACTTTTAGTGCTGGAGAACAAAGATGTTTCTTGGGCTTTAGCCAAGCTGGAGAAGTGTCTGTGAGCCTCTCTCAGACCAATCAGAAGCTTCACTTCTGGCAGGAAATCCTCTTTGGAGCCTCTGTGCTGGGCGGAGCTCTAGGGAGCAGCTGGGCCCTGAGGAGCAGCTGTTTTATTCCAAGGTTGGAAAACAAGTGAGAAAACCTTTTTCAGCCAGCCAGAGAGGCAAGAGCACTATGATTCAAGCATGTAGAGGTGTTCAGGGACTTGAGATGTCAGGAGATTTTCAGAAAGCTGCCCTTGGTGCATGTGGCCTACAGAAGAGACAGCTCTTAGATTTGTGCAGGGACACTGACAGTCTGTGTCTCCAGCACCTGGCATGGTGTCTGGTACCTGGTAAGTGGTCAAGGAACACTTGTTAGGTGGGTGAATGAATGAATGAGAAGACAGCTTCTGGAAATATTTTCTGTGGGCCACAGCACTTTCATTTATGCTAGCAAGTGCTCCATTCTGGAGTTAGAGAGACTTGGGTTAGAATGCAGACTTCATGACATCCTGGAATGAGGCCAGACAAGTTCTTAAGCAAAGAGACAGTGTGGGAACTATCTGGGGCAGCTGCCAGGATCCCCTTTAGGGAGTGTGCATGGAGCTCTGGGCCTGGCTCATGCTACCTGCAGACTCGGTAATGGCTCCCTGTTGCCTCTTGAAATCTCCCTCCAAATCATTCTCTGGTTCTTTCTTGTCTTAGAAAATCTCTAAGATTGAAAGACGGGGGTAATCCCATTGCTGGAAGACTCTCAGTTCAGCAAAATAGCTGAGACATTGGGCTCCACAAACACTTCAGGGAGGGACTGAGCCCTCCACCTCCTCGCCACATGAACTGAGGAGGGAGGGGAGCCAGAGGAATAGGTAAGGGACCCCTTGTCCCCTTAGGAGGCTGGTCCTTGACATGACCTCTTCTGGACCCAGGTCAGACCTCAGGGCACTGAGTGGGGAGGAGCCTTAGGTTCTTTCATGTCAGTCCTATACCTCCTCGGCCTGTTCCCAAACTCCAGAGGCTGTAACCTGTGTTTCCTCACAGGTGGAGTGGCAGCAGAAAAAAGGCTGTTCACCCAGGCTGCCTGGCTTTCCTCAAATCCAGCCAGAAGGCGGGACAGACCATTTTGGTCCTGTGTTCATCTTAGAGGCATGCAAAGGTCCTTCTTTTTGACACAGATGCTAGCCTTGTAGGTGTCGTGGATTAATTTGGGATCCCTCATCCATACAACTCTCCTCCTCTTCATTTCAGCCCTTTCCTCTGAAAACAAGGATCAGAGAAGAAAGAAGCAGTAGGGGCAAGAACCTGGGACCTGAGATTTTGAGTGTGAGCAAGTCCCAGTGGCTTGCTGGATCTTCTCATGTGTGAAGTGTATGGTGTATGTATAGGTGATATGATATGTTTTGGGTGGGATGGGGTGGTCCAGGTGACCTTCAAGGGACCTCCCCCCATCCCTACTGCTTTATGAACTTGTGAGATTATTATTATTGTTTTAGTTTTTGTGCTGGAGTGTTACTCTGTGACCCAGGCTGGAGTGTAATGGCATGATCATGACTCACCACAACCTTGACATTCTGGGCTCAGGCAATCCTTCCGCTTCAGCTTCACGAGTAGCTGGGACTTGGTGCTCACCACCACGCTTGGCTAATATCTTGATTTTCTTTTTTTTGTAGAGCTGACATCTCCTTATGTTGCCCAGGCTGGTCTCGAGCTCCTGGGCTCAAGTGATCCTCCTGCCTCGGCCTCCCAAAGTGCTGGGATCATAGGCGTGAAAAACTATGCCAGGCCAGAGGTATATTTTTTATCCCGGCTCCAAATTATTCCCCCAAAGGAGAAGACAATCATTTTGAGGACAGCAGGTAGTTTGATATGGAGAGGAAAGATCACACATCAAGTCAGATATCTGTCAAGATCAGCTTTATTATGCATTTTACCTTCACCAGGGAGAAGAAGGCAAGAAAGCTGGAGAACAGACTGGCCTGCATCACACAGACACAAATCACATCTCTAAAGAGTGTGCGTGGTGAAAACTAAGCACCCGCAGCAGAAAGCACAAAGAGAAACAAGAGCCCCAAACATCCCAGGTCAACTTTCCTTATTGGTTGTTTGGATCCAATCATTTACATACTTTTGGTTCATTTCTTAAAAACCCAACCAACATTTCAATGTCCAATCACTGCTGTTCTTTTTAGGATGCAGGGACAAAATTGCCCAATTTTCAATTTTTCTAACACCACCATCCTCTTCTCAACACCCATGGAGGTAGTGGTGATAAGTGGGGAGTCTATCAGAATTCAGTTTGAGGCTCAAATGAGAGCCTGGCACTCTGGAAGGTGAATGAGGTCATCTTTGGCTGTTACACACCCAGGCCTGGGTGAATTTTTGCCCCGGGGGAGCTGGGGTAGGCTTCTGTGGTCTCTCCTGATAACCACACCATTCCTACATTTGAGACCTTCCATCAGATTGATGAGAGCAATACTTATTCACAGTGACTGATGAAATACAGAGGGAACTGTCTTCAGAGATACAGACCAAGTCCTGGAGTACTGAGGAAGTCAGGAGGCAAAGAAAGTACATTGGACACAGAGGTACACACAGAAGGAGGTCACCAGGGCATGGGCTGGGGTGGGGGTTTCATCTTTTGGCCATCTTCTTGATCCCAGATGATGTATGAGCAGCTACTTTCCCTTGCCAGGGGTTGAGCACTTCTCCTGGACTTTCTGTGGGCAGACCTCCACACATTTTGTCTGGAATAGATCCTGGCATGGCTCTACACACTGAGTTGGACATTGGTCTTGGCATGGAGGGGAGCATGGATCTTGGCCTTGCTGTGGACGGTTTTCTTGGCTTAACTCCTGGCACTGAGGAAGGCATACCTCCTGGGCTTGCACTGGGCGCTTCTCTTGGCAGGGATCCTGGCATGTGGGGAGGCACACCTCCTCATCCTTTGCCTGGCACTGCTGTTGGGTCTTCTGAAGACATGGAGGGGGCACACATGGCTGCTTGCACTGCTGCTCGTTGAAGGACATCTTTGGGTGATTTGCAGAGCCTGAAACAAACATAAAATCTGAAGTTACCCACATTAAAAATACTAGACTGGGAACTAGGGAATAAAGAATTGGGAGAGGGGAATGAGGAATGGATGATTATTAATGCTAAGAACTCATTTCTTTGCTGCTTTTTATCTCTTTCTCTTTTCTATGCCTGCCTCAGCTCTCTATGACCCTGTGTTCTAGTTAGGGATATTCTCATGGCTTTTGTCTGGATATCCATAACTCCAAATCCCAGTCCCACCACAGATCTTTTGCTTTTCTTCTACTTGACTAATGCTTTTAAAAATCAGATACAAGAGACTAGATATTATACAAAGAATGGTTTGAGAGCTTCAAGAAATGGCAAACAATTTACAAAATCAGTAGAAGGTACAGCCCACGGGAGGAACAGAATAGTGACTTACTCAAGACAGAGCAGCGGGGAGAGAGGGCACAGATGTCTCACTTACCTGATCTTCAGCAAGACTCAGCAGAGGATGTGAATTGCAGAGCCCAGCAGAGCAAGAACTTTTATATAGTGCTTAGTCCAGCCTCCTGCAGGACTGACAAGGCACATGGGTTGAGGCCCTAATTGTGGAGTCACCATAATGAGCTTCCTCTGAAATCACCGATGGTTTGAGTCACTGCTTGGGATGCCTATTAATCAGACTGCATTTTGGCCTCTGGGTCCTCACCAGGCCTTAGCAGGGAGGGGCCCCTCTCAGATCTCTCTCATCAGAGGCAGCAGGAAAAGAATGTTCATAAAACGTTATCTCAGTCTGTTAAACCAGGGCTGGGATTCCTCGTCTGCCCAAACTGGTTCAGATAAGATCCACCTTGCTCATCTCATCTTTACCAATGGGAAAGCTTTTTGCCTAAGGCCTGGGGTCGGTCGGGGTCAAGGGCTGGTAGAACTTATTTCAGACATTTCCGTAGGATGGCTCTTCATTGGGCCTGGAAAGTCATACTTTTTGATGCAAGGTCCCAGGGAAACAAAGAGTCTTCAGTCTCCTGGAGAGAGCAATTTCCCTGAGTGCTGGTTTTGAGGGAAATAGGAGTCAGTTGTTACTCTTGGGTTGGGAAGTGTGGTGGAGGGGAGGAGAGAGGAAGGAGAAGGCAGGCAATCTTCATCTTCTCAACCTTGATTTATGACCCTTCTGAAGGTGGAGTTACAGAGTTTTCATAGTGACCAAGAAAACAGGCTAGAAAGAAGTTAGCCTGTCTTGTCTTCTGGAAAAATTTTTCTTAGAACTCAAGTCAACAAAAGTCAGGGGATGAAAGGAAACTTTTCCAAGCAAACACACCTAGTTTTTTCTACCTCTATGTCTTCGTTTGGGCTGTTACTTTTACCTGGTGTGCCTTCTCTGTGCCTGATGAATTTCTAAGCATGCTTCAAAAATCTACTCATGTCTACCACCTTCTGAGAATCTTGATGACTCTAAACACCAATCTATCTTTCTATGAACGCCCATCTGTTGTTTGTGCTATTTATATGACATTTACTACTGCTATTGGAACTTCCATTTATCTATTTACAAGATCTTGTTATTCTCCTGGGCTGTAAATTCCTAGAGAGTAAGGGGTATGCTGTAGATATAGTAAGTGGAAGATGATGGAAGACAAATGATTATTGATGAAGTAAATGCTTTAATGAAGGAACAAAAAGACTGAATGTAGGAGACAGATGGGAGTAGAGGGAGATTTCATTTAACTGAAAATGGAAAAATACATTTTTGGAAATAATCCCTAGTCCATAAAGTGGTGGACTTGTGCTTCTTTGCTACAGTTGACCTAATTCTAGGATCTTTAAATGTGATGGTGTTCCCCTCCCGTCCTCTTAATTTTAAGTTAAATTCAAGCCCTTAACTTGAAGAGGAAGGTTTAGGTCATTTCCTGACAAAGATATTTGGCTAAAATTAGAAATGCTTTCGAATGCTTATGCAGGTTTTGCATGCTTGACACATGAAAAGTTTTTAAAAGTTGATCTGGGGAGACCAGGTGTCATTTTTGGCACTGGTGCACGAAAGAGTGACATAACACCAGCATGCATCCTATGTGTGTCCTGGTAGGAGACAGAGGCCTGAATAGGGAAGGATGTAGAACACTCATGGGTATATATGAAGGAATAAGGTTATTTGGGGGTATCTGGGAATTGGGTGATTAGGTGTAGGATGGGGAGGCTCTCCTTTTGCTTTTTTTCTTTTTCTACTCTTTTTTAATTTTTGTCTCCTCCTTCCATTTCTCCCCTCCCTCCTTGTATTTTTCATCTTTTCCATAGTATGCTGTTTAAGAGGCAAAGCATCTTTCCTGTGTCCTATGATACAAGAAATTCTCCACCATTGAGCTTATTAATTTATTCTTTCAGTCATTCATGACCCCTGTGTGCTGTCAAGGCCTTTTCCTTCTCTGAAGGCTCATGGTGTTATGAAGATGATGAACAGATGTGTTCCACATCCCAGAAGAAGGTCTTTTCATTGGCCTTGGGTGGGAGGTCATGGGAGGCTCCTGAGGGAGGAGATGTCCATATTATGTCTTAACGGACAATGGGGACTGCTCAGGCAAGGAAAATGGGCAAGGCTATTCCAGGTAGCCTCAAGGAAGGAATCCTTGCTAGGAGCCTGTTTAGCAATTTAACTGAGATGGAGGGTAAGACTGAGGCTAGCTTAGGAAAGGGACTGGGTGAAGAGATCTGCTTGATTGAGATTTCTAGAGGTTTCTTGCAACAGGATGAATGAAATTATTTTGCTTATGCCAGATCATTTCTATGGCTTTGGTGAAGCCCAAAGACAAGGAGAATAAACAGGGATGTGCAGAACGATGGAGAGACTGGATCAAGTTCTCATCCGAGGAGGGGGGAGTGAACTCAGTTAGGTAGAGCCTGGAGTTCAACTTCTCAATGGACTCCCTGCCTGTCATTGAGTTGGTTCATGACACTGGAACTTTCTTGAAATTGATCCCAGAGTTCTTCTGTGGTAGGCAGAATAATGGATTCCCAAAGTCGTCTACAACCTACTCTCTAGAATGTGTGAATATGTTAGGTTTCTTGGCAAAACTGAATTAAGGTAATGGATGAAATCAAAGTTGCTACTCAGATGACCTTAAAATAGAGAGACTATATTGTCCAGGGGAGGCCAGTGTTATCACAAGGGGTCTTCAAAGTGGAAAAGAAGAGCCAGTGTCACAGTGATGTGATGTGATAAAGACTTGACTGGCCATTCCTGGCTTTGAATACAGAAGAAGACCTCCAGCTAGGAATAACGGCAACTTCTAGAAGATGGAAAAGGCAAGGAAGCAGATTCTCCTGAGGATCCACCAGAAAGAGATGCAGCCCTGCTGACAATTTGATTCTAGTTCAATGAGACCTGTCTTAGACTTCTGACCTCCATATATGTAATACAATGTATTTTGTTGTTTTAAGCCACTAAATTTGTGACAACTTGTTATGGCAGCAGAACATGAATAAGCCTTCCTAATATCTGAAGCTCTTGGGAACTCTGGAGGGGGGAAGTCTCAGATGCAATACAATTTCATTTTCCTTTTCTGTTATTTAAGTATAATCCTACTTGTCATGCAATCACTCAATCAAGGACTAACTTTTGGTAAGAGAGGTGCTGAGATGCTTGAAAAAAGAACTGAATTCAAGATCCTATTAACCTAGGTTTGATTATCATGTGAAGGGGATTCCCCTCAAAAACAGAATTTATTTATTAAAAAATTGTGTATTTATTCTTACATGTTTAAACTTCAGTCACCTTCAAGTCACTCTCCGTTTGATGCAATACATCTATCAAGATGCTTTTTTAAAATATTCATTTTTAAAAAATTTTAAAGATGAGGGATACAATACAGGATTAGGTATACAAGTGGTTATCATACAGGTAAAATTTTGGCCTCCCTTTGGTCCCCACTTCTTTTGCTTTGAGATCAGGTACCCTTATTGATGTTGTGTGTCTTCTCCCCCTTCCCCACCGTCCCCTGGCAGTATTCCATTACTGTCAATCCCTTTCTTATAGTATTATGGTAAATGTTTAGGGTTTGCTTATGATTGAGAGAAGCTTTTTCTATTGCTCAAAACAGTTTTTGAATTCATCAGTTATGATGCCTTTTAGTGCTTCTGCCAATTTTTTTTGTTTTACCTCTTCCAAAATGGGAAAATGTTTCCCTTTGAGGACTTTTTTCATCCAGGGAAACAAACAAAACAATGCTTGGGGTGAAATCCGGTGAATAGGGAAGGTGAGACATGGGAGTCATGCCATTTTTTGGTCAAAACTACTGAACACTCCGCATAGTTTACATGTTATTCCTGTATATCACCCATCATGAAATTGGCAAACATGTTGAAAGAATCTTAAAAAAAAATTCACTGAAGCTGAATTCAGCCTCTCACAGCAATGCTAGCTGGCACACTGATGCCAATGGGTTCCTAGAACCTAGTGGGGAGGGGGGTGGGACCTGCCCTCAAAAGAAATTCCATTTTTTGGGTGGGGGTCCCACTTTATATAGAGTATGTGCAGGATACATGGCTTAGGCTTTCAGAGCCTCAATTTCCTTCTGTTAAGAAGGGAAAATACTATTTCACAGATCTTTTATTGAGGAATCAATTAGAGAATCTATGCTCCAACACATCAGGCCATCAAGTATACACTAACCAATGTTAGTGTAATCTGAATTGATTCAAGCCTCACCTCCTTCATGGAGCCTTCCTTGATTTTCCCAGTTCTCTTTGTTCTATGTCCCTTGCTCTATTCCCCAGTACTTGGTTTTTGACTTGTACTTTCCACTTACTGTGGTGCAAAGATGGTGTGCTGCACAGTGGCCTAGGATACCTGCCTCTGTCTCTAACAAGGTGGGTGACCTCAGGCAAGTCCCTGACCCTCTCTGGCTTCAGTTTCATCATCTTTAAAATAGGAAAGTCAGGCTTTCCATCAGATCTATTTCAGCTCTGGCATTCTGTGATGCTATAAATGTGATCATGAGTGATTAACCAGGGTACCTAC